GGAGGGGAAGGCCCTCTATGAGGTGGATTGATTCAGTGACTGGGATAATCGGGATGGGAGTGTCAGAGACGGTGCAATTGGCACAGGATAGAGCAGAGTTTAGGGCTGTTGTACATAGGGTCGCTATGAGTCGCAAGCGACTCGATGACACATAACAACAACAACCATAGGGCTGGCAGCACAGGTTCCTAGCACTAAGCCAGCGTAGCTCCTTAGCAACATGCAAATCACTCCCCTGGTACAACAAAGTGACAGATAGGTGTTATACCCCAGGAGTATCAGGATGCAGGACAGCCCTCTCTGTCCGCAGCTGAGACCTGTGTTAGAACGGCAGGATGGGGCCCCAGGGAGCTACTGAGGGTCTTCCAGCTGAAGCCCTGGTGGCTGGCGAGTGTGGATGGTGGTCCCAGGGAGCTCCTCTGTGAAGAGAGTAGATCCAACAGTGGGGTAGCCGAGTCTGGCTTGTACCTGCTTCACAAGGGGAACAGTCCCCATCAGTAATGTCCAAACAGCAGAGAGCTAGGTCGGACGTGCCATCCCCCGTGCTCCTGCACCTGTTTCCACCAGTTACTGGATTTGACATTTGTCTTGACTCACAGACTTTACTCATGATTTCACAGTTTGGTACTAAATGTGGGGTTTACTGGGGAAATAAATTGGAAGCAAAGAATATCACCCAGTGCAAATCTAGGTTTTAGCCCAACAGTCCCAAGGCTCAATTCCTTAATTAGACCAGGCTCCAGTTTCAGCTCAGCAGTCAACTATTCCTTCCATCATCCAGCAAGAAGAACAAAACCCTTAACTGGGGCCTTTATCCCAAGGCTCCTCTGGTTACACCTTGTCACAGTTTCCCTACAGCAATGCCACAGTCTCCTCACTACCATCACCACGGTCTTGCCCTCTCACCAGGATCTCACTGCAGTCTCCCTCAAGTCCTGCCACTCATGCACTCTCTCACTCACTCTCACTCTGTCTCTACCCCCCCCCCGTTCTGTCTCTGTTTCTCTCTCTCCCTCACATCTCCTGTCCCCACAGCTGTTGATGATTTGCAAGATCATGTGTCTGCAGTTAACTGGAGACCAGAGGGAGCTAACATAATGGGTAGAAAAACCCAACTATTTTTTAATTTTAATGAAAGTTTACAAAGACTTAGGATTTCCAGTAATTCATTTTTGTACTTTTCTTCCTGCCCCCCATTCACTCTTCTCCTTGAAAAGAAAAACTCTTTCATTGGTATGCAATCCCTCCCCCCAAGTCCACTCCACTATGCAGCCTTCACTCTGGACTCCTGTCATGACAATAATACCCAATCATATATCCCTTTAAAAAAGTTTTCTCCCTCATCTGTTTCAATGCAGAATACATCATTCCTCCCCTCCTTTTCTGTCTTCCCTCAACCCTAATGTCAGTCTCATTTTACAACAGTGGCCCTAAGCAATATTTGTCCTTTTGTGACTGAGATATTTCACTCAGCACAATGTCCTCCAGGGTCACCCATTTTGCATAATTGTCCATGAGTTCCTTGTTTTTCAGTGTAGCATAGTATTCTGTTGTGTGAATATACCAGAGCTTCTCTATCCATTCGTTTGTTGATGGGCACTTAGGTTGTTTCCAATTCCTTGCTATTGTGAACAAAGCCGTGATAAACATGGCTGTGCATATATCTGCTTGGGTGGCAGTTATGGTTTCTTTAGGCTAAATTCCCAGTAATGGAATTGCTGGGTCAAATGGTATTTCTGTTTGCAACTTCTTGAGAAAGCGCCACACCACCTTCCACAATGGTTGCACCATTTTACACTCCTACCAACAGTGAATAAGGGTTCCAGTTTCTCCACAACCTCACCAGCATTTGATGTTTGCTATTCTGTTAAATTTTGCTATTCTTACTGGGGGGTGATGATATTTCATAGTTGTTTTGATTTGCATCTCTCAGCGCTAGATTTTGAACATTTCTTCATGTGCTTGTTTGCCATCTGAATGCCTTCTTTGGTAAAGTGAAGAAAAGCCAACTTTTAAGCTAACATCACATCCCCACATTTTAAAGAGCCCTCTTGGCTGTGCTGTTTTGATTCACCTTTATCCTTATCCTTTCTTGTTTTTTCCTTCCGGTTAATACTATGTAGCAGTTTGGGTCCTCTCAACTTTAGGCCACTTTGATCATCCTGATGGAAACCCCTCGCCTTTCTCCTCTCACCCCTGTGCTCCCCCGTCCTCATCCCTGCGATCCCTGTCTGTGGCTTTGCCTGATGTGGACAGTGCAGGTAATGGACTCAGAGGCCGTGTGGTGGAAAGTCTGGCTTCTCTCATTGAGTGAGCAAGGTGTTTTAAGTCCATTCACATTCCTTTCTACCACCCAGGAATATCCCATCGTGCTTGGTAAAGAGGAAGGTCGGCCAACGAGGGGAAGACTCAGTGGGTTGGACCGACATGTGGCCGCAACATGGCTCAGATGGCGACTGTGAGGGGCTCCTGGCCAGGCAGGCTTTTTTCCACGTACACGGCCCCTCTGAGTTAGAACCCCCATGACAGCAACAACGACAAAAACAACATTCTGTGATCTAGAAGAGGAGCCCTCGTGGCCTGATTCCTCTTGGGCTGCCAATGGACAGGTTGATGGTTCCAATCCACCAGCAGCTCCGAGGGAGAAAGATGGGCAGTCTCATCATGATGGACAGCCTCGGCCGCCCAGTGGAGTGGCGCTGGGGTCCCGGGCGCCTGGACAGCACTAGGTGTAGCCCTTTGGTTTTAGAAATGCACATTTAGTTCTGAGCTGGATGTTACTATGCAGGTGGCCTGGTGACGGCCAGTGGTGCCGCTGTCCTTGGCGCACAGATCGGGCGGACTCAGACGTTCCATTCTCGTGGGTAAAGACATGCGAGGTGTAGGATCCCTGGGGCCTTGGTGGTTCCTCAGTGTTGAACCTTCCCAGGAGCCGCCGAACTGCTTCTCAGAGAGGCTGGCCGACTCACCAGCTGTAGGACCCCAGGGGCCTTGGTGGTTCCTCCATGTTCAACCTTCTCAGGAGCTGCTGAACTGCTTCTGATGCTGGTGGCTGGCTCTTGTTGGCCAGCTCTCTCTCATTCCCGCCAGGCCCACAGCGAAGGTCCCACTTTCTTACGTCCTCACTGATACCAGTAGCTGTCTGTCTGTCTGTCTGCTCACAGCCCTCCTAATAGATGTGAAGGAGCAGCTTCCAGGGCGCCGAGTGTGTGTGTGTGTGTGGGGGGGGGTGATGCGAGAGGGAACGTTTACAAATCATACAGGTTCTTCATTGATTCACTCATTCACAATTTGTTTCCTAACATTAATTAGAATTGGTCAATGTGTTTAACTGCAATGTCTGATCAGCCTGTTATTGTAGTGCCCTCTCTTCACCTGGTTATCAGTTTATTGCCTTTCACTCCCCTCTTCCTTCCCACCCCTGGCAGCCTTGGCCCGGGGTTTTGATTGGCTGATTGTGAGGATGGTGCCGGGTGAGACAGGGTTTCGTTCTGCCGCATGGAAGGTGCTCTGTGGCTGTTAACGTGACAGCGCCAGTAACAACGGCAGTGGCTGATGGAGGCCCTGGGGGAGGCACACTGTTAAAACGCTCAGAGCTGACCCACAGGTTAGAGGTTCAAGTCCACCCAGGGGCACTTTGGAAGAGAGGCCTTGCTCCCGACGTCAGAAAAATCAGCTGTTGAAAACCCTCTGGAGCGCCATTCCACTGACACACAGGGTCACCCGAGTCAGGGTCAGCGTGGTGGCAGCTGCCGACACACAGGGTCACCCGAGTCAGGGTCAGCGTGGTGGCAGCTGCCGACACACAGGGTCACCCGAGTCAGGGTCAGCGTGGTAGCAGCTGCCGACGCACAGGGTCACCCGAATCAGGGTCAGCGTTGGGGCTCCTGCCCAGCTATGAACATCTTTTTTGGGGCTCTGGGCAATTTCTCATTCTTCTCTGGAGAAAACTGTCTGTTAAAAATCCACAGTCCAGCTTTTGAATGAACTCCCTTTCTCTTTATGGTGTGAAGCATCATACCACTTTCTAAGAACTTAAAACTTTTTTTGGTTCATTTAACTTCAGATTGGAAGACTCACCTCATCACCAAAGAGTCGACTTCTAGACAGAATATGCTGGGAGAAACTCCATCCCGAGGCACGCACATGGTAAGGTCTCCAGGGTTGGGTACTGGCCCTTTGTACAAAGAGGAGGCAGTGAGCCGGGTTACAGGAGGGCAGCTCGAGGTGGGGGGCTTCTGTTCCCCACACCTCAGGAGGAAAGCAGTGCCAGTGTGAGCCGAGGAGAAAGGACCACAGACCTTCAGTGAAGGAGAGGCCTCTGTGGGCACAGTTCGGTCTGCTGGGGCAGCATGAAAGCAGGCATAGACAGATGTCACGTAAGGAATGTGGCAGTGTTCCACAGCTTGCCACCTCGGCCCCAGACTCTTCTCACAGCCTTTGTTCCCCCGTGGGGCTTCCCCATAAATGCGCCTTTTCTCACTTTCCTAAGTGAAAATGAGACTCCTCAGGAGGAAGGAGCGAGGAGGGGATTGTGAGAATGGTGCCAGAGGCCAGGCTTCCCAGCTTTTGTCCTTATGAGTCCTAGTGGACTTGAGGGGACCTTAGGGGCTCTGCTGGCCTAGTGCTAAGAAGCTGGGCTGCAGTTCCAAAAGCACACGGTTCAATCCATCAGCTGCACTGTGGGAGAAGGATGGGCAGTCTCCTCTCCTGTAATTTACTGCCTCTGAAAACCGCAGGAGGGTCAGCCATGGGTTAGCTCCGACTGGTTGGTGCGCAGCAACAATAAAAGCAACTTGGTGAGAGGTTCTCCATAGCCAAGTCTGTCCAGTCGAGCTGTCGAGATGGTTCGCCCATCTGTCCGTTGTCCCCAGGGGTCCCAAGGCCGATGGCTTGAGGGAGGAAGGCAGGTAGCCCTCCTTGTGATATACTGCCCCTGAGACCCGCTGAATGGTCAGCTGAGTGGTCCGGCTCGCGGCACATGCCTGCATTACCGACAGGTGGCCAGGTGCGGCTGCGCGGGTGGGGGTGGACTGGCAGCCTCTGGGTCGGCGGCAGGTGGACGGAGATGGACGGAAAGCCCCTGCTCTCCCCTCTCCCCTCGCAGCAGACGCCAGCGCCCTCGGCAGCGGCCAGGCCCCCCGAGAACGGCCCGTGGACAGAGGCGGCGCGCGGTGGCGCGGGCCTGACCTGGAGCCCCGGCCCGGCCACGGACGAGGAGAAGCCGCACGGGTGCGAGCAGTGCGGCCGCGGCTTCTACCACCTGTCGTCGCTGCGGCGGCACCTGCGCACGCACTCGGGCCAGAGCCCCTTCGCGTGCCCGCGCTGCGGCAACTCCTTCTGCCACCAGTCGTCGCTCAAGACGCACCTGCGGACGCACACGGGCGAGAAGCCCTTCACGTGCGGCCAGTGCGGCAAGCGCTTCAGCACTCGCTCCTACCTGACGGTGCACACGCAGATCCACGCGGGCGAGAAGCGCTATGCGTGCGGGGCCTGCGGCAAGGCCTTCAGCCGCAGCTCCTACCTGCGCGTGCACCAGCGGACGCACACCGGCGAGAAGCGCTACGCCTGCGGCGACTGCGGCCGCGTCTTCGGCCACTCGTCCAACCTGCGGCGCCACGTGCGCACGCACACCGGCGAGAAGCGCTACGCCTGCGGCGACTGCGGCCGCGTCTTCGGCCACTCGTCCAACCTGCGGCGCCACGTGCGCACGCACACCGGCGAGAAGCGCTACCGCTGCGGCCGCTGCGGCAAGGCCTTCGTGCAGAGCTCGTCGCTCGTGGTGCACAGCCGCACGCACACGGGCGAGAAGCCCTACCCGTGCCCGCAGTGCGACAAGGCCTTCATCGACACCTCCTCCTTCCGCAAGCACCTGCAGACGCACGCGCGCGAGCAGGCCCTCGCCTGTGCGCAGCGCACCCGGCCCTTCAGCCGCACCGCGCCGCTGGCCACGCGCAGACGGCTGCCCTCGGATGGCGGCCTGCGGGCCAGTGCGGACGGGAGGCTGCCCCTGCCCCTGCCCCTGCCGTAGCCGGGACGGGCCCAGACTGGCCCACCTTGGCATGCAAAGCCCCCCAGCACGAGGGAGAAAGGCAGGCGCCGCAGACGGGACGCTGCCCTGCCTCTGCCCCTGACTTAGCCGGAATGGGTGCCGGGTCGGGATGGGCCCAGACTGGCCTGCCTTGGCCTCCGAAGTCCAGCCAGCACGAGGGAGAAAGGCTTGGCCATCTCCCCAAGTGGAGATCAGAGCTGAGGAAGCCCCGGGGAGCAGTTCCACGTCTGACACGCGGGGTGCCAGGATCAGAACCGAATCCATACTGGGCAGTTAGGCGAGGCCTGTTTTCAGATTTTGGTTCCCAACACAAGCCTCTAAAGGCTGTTCAGTGTCATTGTCTGTGCAGTGCTCGCCCTCAGTTCAGCCCCCCAGGCGCTCCGTGGGAGAGGGATTGGTAGTCCACCCTCATAGAGGTGATGGCCGTGGACTGACCCGCAGCAGACCCCAGCAAGTTTTTAGAGGCACTTGACCCGACGGGAGGAGACTGCCCATACTCTCCCCGAGCACCTGGTAGCCTCGAACCGCGTGCCTTCGGGGTTGCAGCACAGCATCTTGCTATAGGCTACCAGAGCTCCCATAGCAGCTTACAGCCTTTAAAACTCAGGGGGGCTGCTCTGCTCTGTTCTCCTGGGCAGCTGAATCAGGATCCCTGCACTGTCACTGGGGTTCAGAGGTGGCCGTGGAGGCCCCCACCCCACCATGGCAAGGGCGGATGAGAGCTGGGCTGTGAACTGGGATGCAGTGGTTCAAACTCCCCTGAGGTGCCTTGGAAGAAAGACCTGGCAATCTCTTTGAAAACCCCATAGAGCAGGCCCGTCCTGACACTCGTGCAGCCTGTGCTGGACCTGACTCCATGGCACCTGCTTGTCCAGGATGGTGCAGCATTAACACTGGACTGTTGTCTGAGTGGAGGAGGCTCGTGGCTTCCCAGAGGTGGGGTCACCAGGAGTCAGGGCCTTGCTGGCTCTGGTGTGTGGACCCTGAGCGGTCCTGCTGGCGTCACCCAGGGCCCGTGTGTGGCGGGGCTAGAGCCCTTCTTTCACAGTCTCATTGTAAACATTGCCTGTGACTTGACTCATACCTTATTTGAAAGGAATAATAATACTGATACCCTGTGAGGGATTCAGTTCTCGGTTGATGGTTCTGTGTTCAGAGCTCCTGGTCTTAGTTACGTGACTTCTTGGCTGTTTGCTGGGACGTGATCTGGCTCAGTTGCAGGGACTCACCAGGCCCCTCCTTCCATCCTGACTAGTTGTGGTTGGGTGCTGTCAGCTTATAGTGACACTGTGTGGCTGCTCAAAGGAAGGTCGGCAGTTCAGAGCCGCAGTGCCTCAGCAGGAAGAATGACCTGGCCTAGGAAACCCTCTGTTGGGGCGTCTGCTCCGTGGGGATCACTGTGAGTTGGCATCTTCTCGCTAGCTCCTAGCAACAGTCTTCATCGCCCAGATTCCCAGATGTTTCTCCTGTGGAGCTGCTGGTTGTTGGGCTCAAACTGCCCACCTGCTGGTTCACAGCCAAGTGCATAACCCCTGTACCACCAGGGCTCCTTCCTGGCTAACTGATCCCTAGCTTTGTGAGGTCAGGCAAGTTCAGTGTGCCTTCCCCCCTCCTTGGCGGCCAGCGTTGCCAGGACCACGCTCCCAGCTGAGAAGGGACCAGGGCAGAAGCACCCAGATTCCTCCCCCTTTCCTTTCCTGCGGCCTGGAACACAGGCCCTGGACCTTGGCACAGGTGCCCTCCTGTGGCCTGAAGGGCTGGACTGTGGACAGGTGTCCTGACTCTTGGGAGTGGGCCCCGAGGCCCGTCCTGCCTTCGGCAGCCTTAGACCAGACCCGTCGTTTTCCATTTTTGGGTTTCTTATTTTTCCATTTTTAAGAAGAAGACCTTGTCAAGAGTAGAGGACCAGCTAATAAGACAATGTCCTTCAACAAGAGAGATGGGCGGCACCTGCCTCCATGGGTCCAGCGGCAGTAGCTGGGAGGTGGACACAGGACCCAAGGGCTTGGTCTCCTGTGTGTGGATCACCGTGAGTTGATGGAACAGCATTTTGGTATGATCATAAATTTCCAGGAGTTTGCATCTTGGGAGAAGACCTGGGTCCCCATCCCCAGCTTCCTCCGGTCGTGTCACCTCACCTGCCCAGAAGTCAACACTTCTGCCAGCCCAGCACATTTTGGGGTGGGTACCATCATCCCCGTGTTTCTCTGTGGGACCAACAGCCCACAGCTGGCAAGTCGATCTCAGCTCACGGGGCTTCCTGAGACGGCAGGCCGCTCCGGGATGAGCCTCATCTCATGGAGACTCTTGGGGAGAGAACTGCTGGCCTTTGGGTTGGCAGCCCGACACGTGGTCACTGTGCCATCCAGACTCCTGTATCCATGGAGCCACCACCCTAAGCAGGACACAGACTGGTCCAGCCCCAGAGGTGCCTGACAAAGCCACCGGGTCCTTTGAACCCACACAGCAGTACCGCGGCAGAAAGGCCTGGTGGTTGGCTTCCCAGCATCCACAGCCGGGTAAACCTCTGACCCGCGCTGGCCTGGAGTTGGCTACGCACAGGCGGCGCTGTTCGGGGCCTGCACTCCAGCACCTGCCGGCTGCGCACCTGCCTGTCTGGGGGGCTTCTCCAGACCCGTGGAGATCCGGAGCTCGAGCAAACAGCCCACCCACAGCCCTGCTCTTCATCCACTTTGAAAGGAAGTTAGAAGAGCGAGCCGGGAGAACAAAGCTGTTTTCCATAAGGTCGCAGAGGAAGGACAGAACCCACAAGAAAGTTTATTGAGGAGAAACTGCCAGGCTGGCTCTCAAGCAGAAGACTAACTCAGCAGTGCGATTTTATATTTTCTTACACAGAAATTGGGGAGGGGGGTGCTCATCGATGCTTCCTTCAAGACAGAGAAGCGGGCCGGGGTCTCAGAACTGTTCCTGGGAAAGGGGGGTAGGGTAGTTTTGCAGCGAGAGAAAGCACAGCTGCTGTTTCCTGGGATTGGACTCTCGGTTGCCGTTCCAGGAGAGGTAGGAAAGGGCTCTGCAGTCCTAATGGTTTTCTGACTTGGGTTCCAAACCCCCCAGTCCTGGTGGAAAGATTGGGAAAAGGACATGGTGGCAGTAGCCACACAGTGTAAAGAAACGTCGCTGATTTGACACGTAGCGCTTGTTGGATTGGAAGCTGTCTGAGCACATGTGTTTTCCCTGCGATAAAAATAAAACTGAGCAAAATGAAAGAAAAAACCCACCCGCGATTGTCCTTTTTGGTTTTGGACACAAGCTTCCATTGTTGCTTAATGGAGTTTGGGGGTCCGCGTTTCCACGAGTGGCCAGGAGATGTCAGCAGCGAGCAGGCCCCGATGTCAGTGGCGCGTGAAGGCTGCTGACCACTGTCCACACGCTGGTGTATCTGCCTAGTTTGCCCGCTGGCCCGGGGGTCAAGCTCAAAGCCGCCAGCCTTTGAGGCAGCTGCTCTATGGGCGAAGGACCAGGCCGGCTGCTTCCGCAGAGACCGCAGGCTTGGAAAGCCTCCTCCATCCTGCAGGGTTGCAGAGAGCGAGCGGGTACCCCCTGGCCCCCCCTCCCCCGCCCCCGCTGAGAGCAGGCATCCGGTTGGCCGCTGCCGTTGGCCGAGGGCTCCAGGGTCCGGAGGGGCCTCTGTGGTCCTGCACCAGCTCGCATGGCTCCGTGTCCACTGCCCATCTTTGTGGTCACAGTCATTCATGTCCTGTTTGCACTCCTGCTAGCTGAAAGGTTGGAAGTTCTAGTCCAGTGGGGGCACCTCAGAAGCCTGGTGATGTGGTCCTGAGAGCACAGCCAGTGAGAATCCACAGAGCCCCGAGGGGTTTGCAGGAGCTGAAGTCACAGCAGAGACCCTGGGCCCTGGAGTGAGGTGAGCTGGGGCTGACGGGGACAGCAGGGCTAGATGGGGATTGAGGACAGGGTAGAAGTCCCTATGGTACAGACGGCCACGTCTTTGGGCCTCAGAGCTCCGGAGCTGGTTCAAACCACTCAGGGTTAACAGGCAAGGGCTTGACCTCCTGGGCTTCTCACATTCGGCCTTAGACTTTCTGAATCAAAGTCATAAATTCTTTTTATTGCAAAGTCACTTTTCTCTGCTAATCCTCTGCTCACTACTTTGAATGAAACTGCCTTGTTGTAAATCGTAAAACATGATTTTTTTTTATTCTTAATTCCCTTTGCAAATAAAATGACGAGTGACGTTAGAGCTTATACTTCAGGACTTTGACCCAGTCTGTTTGGTATATTTAGTTTCCAGGTCCATTCAAATGTTTTTTACATTTTGGGTGTGTGTGTGTATAAATAAGAATCAGATTAGAAATTCTTGGCCTTATGGTAAGAAGCTGCACTGCAATCCCAAAGGCATACAGTTCAAAGCCACCATCTGCTCTGCAGAAGGCCAGGCAGTTTCCTCCAGTGCAATTAACTGCTTCTGAAAACCCACTGGAGGATCAGCTGTGGGGCAGTTCTGACTCCATGACACACAACAACAGGAATATTACAGCCTCTTGTTGTTGTTGTTGTTATGTGTCGTCGAGTGGCTTGTGACTCATAGCGACCCTATGTACAACAGCCCTAAACTCCGCTCTGTCCTGTGCCAATTGCACTGTCTCTGACACTCCCATCCC